TCATTGTTTTTGATGATGTTGCAAGTGGATTGCTTTCTTAGTTTCTTATTTAGATACCTCACTATGAGCATATAGAAAGGTAACTGATTTTTGTATGTTGATTTTGTATCCTGCAGCTTTCCTGAATTAGTTTCTTAGTTGTAAGAATTTTTTGGTGGAGTCTTTAGGGTTTTCTATCTATAAGATCATGTCTTCTGCAAACAGATTTTTACTTTCTCTTTTGTGATTTCGATACCTTTTGTTTCTTTTTCTTGCCTAAGTGCTCTGGCTAGGCCTTCCAGACCTATGTTGTGAGGTAGTGAGGTGAGTGGGCATCCTTCCGTTGTTTCTGCTTTTAGAGGAAAAGCTTTTAGCTTTTAACTGTTGAGTGTGGTGTTAGCATGGGCGTATCGTGTATAGCCTTTATTATAGCGACGTACATTTCTTCTATACCTAATTTCTTGAGAGTTTTTAACATGAAAGTATGCTCGAGTTCCTTATTGCTTTTTCTGCATCTATTGAATGATTATATGATTTTTATCCTTCATTTTGTTAATATGGTGTATCCTGTTTACTGATTTGACGATGATGATCCATCCTTGCATCCCAAGGATAAATCCCACTTGATCATAGTGTAAGGTTCTTTTAATATGCTGTTAAATTTGGTTTGCTAGTATGTGGTTGAGGATTTTTCCTTCTATGTTTAAGATTATTGACTTTGAATTTAATTTTCGTGTAGTTTCCTTATCTTGCTTTGGGTATCAGGGTAATGTTGACCTCGTGAATTGAGTTTTCCTTCTTCTTCAATGTTTTGGAAGAGCTGAGGAAGTACTGATATTAATTCTCCTTAAAATCTTTTGTAGAATTGACCAGTGAATCTGTCTAGTCTTGGGCTTTTCTTTATTGGGAGATTTTTGTTTACTGATTCCATTTCCTTACTCATTATGGGTCTATTCAGATTTACTATTTTTTTGTGATTCAGACTTGATAGATTATATATTTGTAGGAATTTATCCACTTCTTCTAGTTAATCCAGTTCATAGTAGTCTCTTAAGATCTTTGTGTTTCTGCTGTATCAGTTTTAATGTCTCCTGTTTCTGTTCTGATTTTAATTTATTTGAGTCTTCTCTCTTTTCTGTCTTAGTCTAGCTAAAGGTTTGTGGATTTAGTTTGTTTTCAAAAACCAACTCTTAGCTTTGTTGATCTTTTCTAGTGTATATTTCATTTATTTCTGCTCTTATCTTTGTTCTTTTCCTTCCGTTTCCTAAATTTGGGTTTAGTTTGTTGTTGCTTCTATTGTTTCTTGTGTAAAGTTAGGTCGTTTATTTGAAATTTTCCTTTTTTTTAATGTAGGTACTGATTGCTCTAAACTTTATTCATAGAACTGCTTTTGCTGCTTTTCATAAGTTTCAGCATATTTTGTTTCCATTTTTGTTTGTCTCAAGATAATTTTACTTTTCATTTTGATTTTTTTATTTAACCTATTGATTGTTCAGGAGTGTGTTGTTTCATGTCCACATATTTGTGAACTTTTTAGCTTGCATCCTGTTACTGATTTCTAGTTTCACACCTTTGTGAGTCAGATAAGATTGTTGATATGATTTCAGTGTTATTAAATTTGTTCAGACTTTTTTTGTGATCTAAGATGTGATCTGTCCTAGAGAATGTTCTGTGTCCACTTGAGAAGAATGTTTATTATGCATAGTTGGATGGAATGTTCTATATATGTTTGTTAGGTCCATTTGGTCTAAAGTGTAGTTCAAGTCAAATATTTCCTTATTGATTTTCCATCTGGATGATCTGTCCATTCTTGAAAGATGGGTATTGAAGTCGGCTGTTAGTATTTTGTTGCTGTCTTTTCTACCTTCCAATATGTTAATACTTGCCTAATATATTTAGGTGTTCTGATGTTGGTGCATATATACTTATAATTGTTATATCCTCTAGATGGATTGATTCCTTTATCATTTTTTTTTTTTTTTTT